GATGATCATAGAGGTCAATGGCTGAATTGTTTTCCAGATAGCTGTACTACTCTTATTTCGTTGAATTTTGCCTGTCTTAAAGGAGAGACCAATGTTGCTGCTTTAGAGAGGCTTGTTGCAAGGTCACCGAACCTGAAGAGCTTGAAGTTAAACCGTGCAGTACCCCTTGACGCACTCGCTAGGTTAATGAGTTGTGCGCCGCAGTTAGTGGACTTAGGAGTAGGGTCTTATGAGAATGAGCCAGATCCTGAATCTTTTGCAAAACTCATGACTGCCATTGAAAAATGCATGTCGTTAAGGAGCTTGTCAGGCTTTTTAGAGGTTGCTCCACTCTGTCTCCCAGCGTTCTACCCGATTTGTCAAAACCTTATCTCGTTGAACCTCAGCTATGCAGCCGAGATCCAAGGCAACCACCTCATCAAGCTTATTCAGCTTTGCAAGAGACTTCAACGGTTATGGGTAAGTTTTATCTCACTGTCTCTGTTTATGTCCTGAAGAAAAGAAACTAACTTGCTAACCTGACAACAAATGGGTTTAAGATTTAACAGTTTTTTATGGTTCCTACAGATATTGGATAGTATTGGTGACAAAGGACTTGCGGTTGTCGCTGCCACATGTAAAGAGTTGCAAGAGCTGAGAGTTTTTCCCTCTGATGTACATGGTGAAGAAGATAACAATGCAGCTGTGACCGAGGTCGGACTAGTTGCGATCTCTGCAGGTTGCCCTAAACTTCATTCGATTCTATACTTCTGCAAACAAATGACAAATGCAGCGCTCATAGCTGTGGCCAAAAACTGCCCAAACTTCATCCGGTTCCGGCTATGCATTCTCGAGCCACACAAACCTGACCATATCACATCTCAATCACTAGACGAAGGCTTTGGTGCGATCGTACAAGCTTGCAAGGGTCTAAGACGACTCTCTGTCTCCGGTCTCTTAACTGACCAAGTCTTTCTTTACATCGGTATGTACGCGGAGCAGCTGGAGATGCTTTCAATAGCTTTTGCGGGGGACACTGACAAAGGAATGCTCTATGTGTTGAATGGATGCAAAAAAATGAGGAAGCTGGAGATAAGGGACAGTCCTTTTGGGAACGCTGCGCTTCTTGCTGACGTGGGTAGGTACGAAACAATGCGATCCCTTTGGATGTCGTCTTGTGAAGTAACTCTCGGTGGCTGCAAGAGGCTCGCGCAGAATTCGCCACGGCTGAACGTAGAGATCATCAACGAGAATGAGAATAATCGGATGGAACAGAATGAAGAAGACGAAAGAGAGAAGGTTGATAAACTTTACCTCTACCGAACAGTGGTTGGGACCAGAAAAGATGCACCACCATATGTTAGGATTCTTTAGTCTCTCCCATTTCCCACTCCATCCTACCGGACCATCTTGGATCTCTCTTATGGTTCATGTTGGTTTTTTGTTTTAGGCCCTTGATGTTGTTCTTTAGCTCTTTCTCCAATTTTAGGTGTACTTTGCTTCAGACAAGAACTGATTTCTTTCTATGCAGCTTCATGTGTTTTAACCATTTCTTTGTGCTTATGTTTTGTGAATTTAAAAAACAAAAGACGAACAAATACAAATGTTGCATTTTATTATACCATAATTCAGCCTTTGAAAGAACTAAAATTTGGGTAAAATAACAAACATGTTTTCCAAATAATACATAAAAATTACAGAGAACATCCACAAGAAACCTACTTGTCAAATCCATGCTCTGGATGAGTACACTCTCAAAGTGAACATCAACAGACAATGAAACACGATAGATAGTACATAAGACATTGAGAGTTATGGCATATGTCTTCGATTAGACACATAATGCAGACAGTAAATGACGAGATCCGCAGAGACGGGCATTCTCAGAAGCAGCACTCCTCCAACAAACAGCAACAGCAGAGAGCAGCAAGACTGCCATTGGCAACCCGCAAAAAAAAAGGATTCCGTTAATCACAAGTCGTCACAACAAGATTTAGGCCACTTATGGTCAATCACAACTCTTATAGTAAAATATAAAAAAGTTTCATTAGAGTGAGCATAAGAAAAGCCGCAGATGATATAGACACTAGAATTTCAAAATCCTACATTTTATCTAGAGATTTTATACATATATTTTGGGGTCAAGAATCCAAAATAAAAAGCATTAGGTAGTTCTTAAGAGAGCCACTAGATGCAATGAAAAGTAAACGATCATGGCTATACATGAATAGATGACAAATAGACAAGAACCTTCCCTAGAAGTTCAGCAAAGCACTCAGAGAACTAAATCTAAGGATTAATCCGAATCTCTTGCTCTAAAATTCCGATCAATGGCCACCAAACAAAGTGAAAAAGAAGTCAAGTCTGAGTTCCCAACGAAACTCTGAGTCTCACAGTAGTTGTCCAAATTCAACTAACATTATGACTTATCCATAAATCAACTCAAAGGAATCTGGTTCTGATCAGGATCATAATATTCCCAAATTCCATAAACCAAAACACTTGTTCAATGAACCCTCAACATTAATCAGTGATCAAGCATAAAGCTCAATCATAGCTTTAAACCGACACAATGAGTTAAAACAATATTGACCAAAAAAGCACAAAGAATCGAATCACAAGTAAACGGAAATTAAAAGGCGGGAAGTGGTAGAGAAGACGAACCAGCCACGGACGAAAGAGAAGCAACCAGAGTCAGAATCTTGGTAATGGTGATGATCGTGATGGCAGTGATTGTAATTTTGCGGCGGAGGAGGAGGCGGTGGTCCGTGATGTTGATGAGGATAACCACCTCCGGCGAAGTAACCTTGATAACCGCCTTCGTAAGGACGTGAAGACGGTGGTGGATACGGTTGATATCCTCCGTGAGGCTGAGGTGGAGGATATCCTTCGTGATGCGACGGTGGAGAAGGATATCCCGGAGGCGGCGGTGCTGATGGATAACCCGGAGGTGGATAGTGAGATTGGTATCCTAAATCGTCCGATCAAAAACAGAATTTTAGTACTTTTTTGGAATCGATCAAAATCAGAGAATCAGAATTCAAGGAATCGAATAGAATCGAATCGAAGAGAATCATAAGAAGAAGAAGTGATTAAGAACGAACCTGGAGGAGGATACGATTCCGGTGGGACTTTATCGTAGCTCATGTCTTTTTTTTTTGTTGTCAAAATCAATAATTTTTACTTTTGAGGGACTATTTATATTGAAGTGCCAGGCTTTTTCCTTTCCATTTAAGTAAAGTCACGTGTCACTAAAATCATGTTGCTCACGTTTTTATTGGACTCGGGCCGAGAATAATTTATGTATTCGTTTGTACCTTGTTTTAAGTTTTGCTATTGGGCCTAGCTACTTACTTATTTGGGTGCGGAAAAACACTCACGAACAGACCTCGCCGCTTGCTTTGATCAGAGAATAAATACACATTATTTTTGGATTTCAAATAAATTTCGAAAAACAGAATAAATCCTAATAAACAAAAAACTAAACTCAACAGTTATTCGGTTGCTAAAAGCCTAAAACTGTCGATCCGAAAAAAACTTGAAACCCAAATTATCCGATTCAAAACAGAAAGCTTTGCTCGACCCGGAAAAAACATGAAACCCAAATTATCTGATCCAAACCAAAAAAGCTTTGCTTAGACTGTCGACCTAAGAAAATTTGAAACACAAATTATCTGATCCAAAATAGAAAGATTTGAACCGTGGATATAAATGCATATGATTGACGAATTTTTTTTTTTTTTTTTTTTTTAAACAACAGATTGAGATTGTTTTTAATGTGGAGTGTATAAAAATGTTTGGTTGAATATTTGATGTGAAACAAAGAAAAAAATATTTGAGGTCAAAAAAAAAAAAAAAAAAAAAAAACAGAAGATCATAGTCGTCCGTGTAAAAGCAGAGACATTTGGTGCCAATCCACGCGCTCTCTCTCTTTATTATACCGAACAGTCAGTCATTAAAAAATGTTCGCTCTGCGCTCACACACTACTGTCATCTTCGTCGTCTCCGAGCACGAAAAAGGTAAATTAATTTTTTTTCAACTGATGATATTAACATCAGTTACAATATATAATTGATACAAATTTTTTTTTAACCTATGCAAAATATTTGCATCACCACTTATCTCACTTATATAAGTAATGTAAAACTAATTTGCATCAGTTATAACCAATTCAGATATTAAAAACAAGTGACACAAAACATATTATTTTTGTAGTTTACAAATGATTGTGTGAAGATGAATAACTTAAAATGAGTTTGAAAAAGCTAGTTGAATGATATTCATTCGTTTGACGAATTAACACATTTCTTGACCCACATATGAGATATTCAGCTCACGAGTGTTCTAAAACGTATTTCGTACAAATTTTTACTGATGAAGTTGAAATAGTTTGGTGCTAGTGCTGTGAAGATGGTCATATACTACCTCAATAAACCACGTCGTTTTCCGGCGTCAGAGTGAGATAAGTTTGTTCTCTTTGTGTCTGTAACTATGATTTTGTTGCCGAAAACTATAATCTTGGTTCGAAATAATTTATAAGTTTATTGGACAAATTGGTGTGTTCTTCCGCTGTTGTGTTTTGGCATTTAGTTTTACTATTATATTTTATTATTACTATTATTTATTTATTTCATAATCATTATAATGGATAAAATGGCATTTAGTTTTACTATTATATTTTACTATTAGTTTTTCTTTAACAATATAGTAAATATAATCAAAGGATAGTCTTTAAAATCGAAAACTTAGAGAATGGATGATTTTTTTAAACCAAAAATACTTCTATTCAAACTATTGGTTAATTATACTAAAAAATTCTACATGGATATAACTAATGCCCATCATTGATGCATTTGGGACCGTCAAAAACCAATAATGGGCTAACTCTCAAAACTGATATTGGGCCGAAGTTATAATAAATACTCGATTGCCTCATTAGAGTTGTTTTCCAAAGTCCCACATCGATAATTCTGGATTCGCTCGCCCTCACATGATGCATATTTAAAATATTCCCTAGCGTTTATCTGGGCCATTTGGCTAAGATCAAGTGTAGTATATGTTCTTGTCAGTTTAATATCTGATACTTGGTGCCATTGGCCCATGTGATATTAACTTTATTTTTCAATGAGGTGAGTCCGCCACGTCAGCTTGCTGATTGGCTCCCACGTGTCACCTTCATCTTGCACTACTGCGAGGTCTTGCACACCTCACCAGCTGGTTTATCTTCTTAACCAATGTTAACCGGTCAGCCATAAACAAAGATAACCGAAATTTTTGTTCGAAATAACCTATCATTATCCAATGCTTGTTCGAATTGTTAGATTTTATTTTTAACCTAACAAAATTTCGAGACAGAAGCATCTGGAAATTGAATTTGTAAGTACTTTCTAAACCAAGCCAGAGTCTAAAAAAAAAAAAAATTGTTTCTTCTTAGCCTTCTTCGTAGCTTTTGATCGGCAGCTCTACTATTGGCCTCGAAAATCTGCCCCATTTTGGTGGAATGATAAGTTGTGATCTTTTCATTGCAAATCCATACAATCATTTGTATAATTTTATGGTTCTAGATGTTTTTTCCCCCAAATTTTTAAAGTTTATCATATAACTGTCCTATGATTAAAAGAACCATGTCGTTTAATAATTTAATTTGACATATCTTATTTAAAACTCTATATATAATTTAGCTGTTATATAGTTGTGATCCATCATTCAGATTTCATGTTTACCAAAGAGTTGTGATGTGTGAATAAGAACACAATGTTAAGAAAAATTATTTTTTAAGTAAATGTTGAAAACCCTTTAGCCACAACTAATATATTTTTTTTTTTTTTTTGATATACCCGATCGGCTGATCCGGTCAGCCCTGGGGGAACGCACCGAAGTGCTACCATGTGGACTCACTACCACCCCGAAGGATGGGCTACCACACTGCCTAACCCAAGTTTGGAATGCTTTCCGACTAATGCCCGGGGGTAGCTGGATCGCCTGTTACCAGACTACCAGGTAAACTGCCTGGGCCGAAGCCCAAGCCCAGACTTCCCACAAAGTGTTGATAACAGCGAGGGAGGAAGATCGAACCTGGGTTCGGGGATTTCACCCTCAACTCCAGACTCGCCCTACCACTAGCCCACCACCTTGCGGGCCACAACTAATATATAAAAGCCCATGCATACACTATTGCGCATGCATTTTGATCGCTAAACACAAACGCTTTGTTTTTTACGGCGAGAAGCAGTGGAACACAAAACTCTCATAAACACCCCCGCCGGTGACCCGGAACTCATTATCCGGCGGAGATTCCGACATACAAGGATAACTATTTCTCTTCTCTGGTCTCTTGCTTGAAGCAGAGCCTAACCTCATGCTATTTCCGTCAACGGCGGCAGCTTTTTTCTCCATTCTCCGGCGGTTGACATACTCTTCCGATATAAAGACATCCATTGGAAATACTTTATAGAAAGGGATTCAAGAAGTGGAAAAACTTTGGGGGTGTTTTAGGGAAATAAATGTTTTGATTCACAGTTTGTAGTTTGTTGAGGGAATCAAAATGAAAGTATATAATTTATAGATGGGGAAAAACTGTGGGCGTTAGGTTCCATGTTTTGTTTGGCACATTATATTAACTAACTTAGACATATTTATTATGAATGTTTTCCATAAAAGATGTTTTTTGCCCGTTGTATATGTGTACTAGTGTTGAATGCTACATGGTTAATAGTTTTGTGAAATAATTTAATAAATAACTAATTACTAGAACCTAGTTTTCATGGATTCGATGGATTCTTTTTTCAAAGGTACGTGACATGATAGACCCAATATTTCTTCTGATTAAAAGATAGATCTTTTTTTGTTGCAATTTTTGGCTGAATACATATTAAAATAACTTTTATTACATCACGTGTATGTATCATATGATAAACAAATACAAAGAATGAGATAGTACGTTATAATTGACAGCAAGAGAAATAAATATCACAATTCGTCGCTTTATAATTTAATAATGGTTAAAGCAAAACAATACTAAAAACAAGTGTCTTTTTCAAACATTGTTAGAAAACACAAATACACCATTTGACATGATTGGTAATCTCGAGAATCTACTAAAGCATGTGATAACACAAATATCATTAGAATTAAATATTACTCAAAAATCCAAAAACTGTCCAAGGAGCCGTAAACCACCATGCAGGCCACAGATTATATCGAACGACAAGTGTATGAAGTTTTCAGAATGAAAACCGCTATAGAACGTAACGCCTATTTACTTTGAGCTCTTTGTCCCTTTTTTTAACGTGTCACATGTGCTTGTCTTTGGTAAACTACACTTTTGCCCTGTTCTAACATTGGTTTATTGTATCGAACGGGAAGTATACAATGGACTAATTCATGGTCGATATTTGACAATCAGTGGATTAACCAATGTTCGTTAAAAGTCCACAAGTTGATTTGATGCATGAATTCAACTTATTTAAAACTTTAAGGAGAGCCGATATGCAAGACTTTAAAACTATAACTCTAGTCCCTTTGATGGCGAATCCACAAAATCCAAACCCTAATCAATACAATAATAACAATAAGAATCTCTCCAGACTTGACACCTCAACATTTTAGGCTATTCTGGAGCTGACACCTCATTAAAATCAACATCCAATCAAAACATTTCGATTAATACAGCTCAACTTTATTGTCCACTAATAATTCTTTCTCCTTCCACGTCACTCTCTCTCTCACAAATTTATTTGTTGGGTTTGCAATTAGATTCATAGATAAACATAAAATATTACAGGCCCAACCCGACCTGAGTTTGTTGGATCAAGCCCATTACATATTAGCAATAGACACAATACTTAAACCAGCTAATTTTAAAGGTCGGGGACTTGTCTCTCAAACAGCAGACTCAGATATACCCAAACGGAATGGGGAAGAAAACAGAGGTGAGAAATCGAAGAAAGGGTCAATTGGGTCTCCGTCGAAAGGTTCGTGAATTATTTGCCGCCGGTAAGCTTAAAAGAGGCGGTTTCAGGTGGTTTGAAATTGGAATTAGGGTTTAGCCCATATAGTGAAAGGATTAACGGGAGGATTAGGGTTCATGGCTTCGCTTCTGGTTGAGCTCGCGACGGGTAAGAGTGTGTTGAATTATCATACGCCTTTTGTGGTGTTAATTCAGATTTATTTCGTTGTGGCTGTTTCAGCTATGTTTGTCAAGATTGAGAAGGAGAAGGTTAGTGTTTGGCCTAAGGATTAAGAAAGACCTGAGATTGTGAATTGTTGTTTTTGTTATTGAAATGTATATGCTTTTGTTTTAAGTTTGTATGTATTTGTATACTCGCAGAGTTCAAGATCAAGGATATAAGATTTGACCATTGAAGGATCTCATTTTGGAGTGAGTTTGTTGTTGTTAAATGATTGCAAATTCTGGATGGTTATGGTCTTGGTAGCTAAAGACAATGAGTGTGAAAGAAATTTTTGATACAAAATTATGTTTGTTATATGTTGTAATTACCTCTGTTTTCTTCCCCATTCCGTTTGGGTATATCTGAGTCTGCTGTTTGAGAGACAAGTCCCCGACCTTTAAATTAGCTGGTTTAATTATTGTGTCTATTGCTAATATGTAATGGGCTTGATCCAACAAACTCAGGTCGGGTTGGGCCTGTAATATTTTATGTTTATCTATGAATCTAATTGCAAACCCAACAAATAAATTTGTGAGAGAGAGAGTGACGTGGAAGGAGAAAGAATTATTAGTGGACAATAAAGTTGAGCTGTATTAATCGAAATGTTTTGATTGGATGTTGATTTTAATGAGGTGTCAGCTCCAGAATAGCCTAAAATGCTGAGGTGTCAAGCCTGGAGAGATTCTTATTGTTATTATTGTATTGATTAGGGAAAGAGAGAGATATAGAGATCCGAAGGAGAGACGAAAGAGGAGGTGAGGGAGAGAGAGAAGAGATAGACATCGGTTTTTTATTTATTTTTTTCCTCATAAGTTTCCTTTTTTCCAAACTATAACAAGTACAATGAGTTTACAAACATAACTCAAAGCCCAAAAAGTCAGGCGTCAAAGATCTTTAATTGATGATAACTTTTTTTTTTTTTTGGAAAACCCACTAAGAATTGAATTATATATGATTATATTCACATCAAAAAAAATTCACCTTTCGTTATATTCTTTTTGGTCATTTCAAGATGTCTTTGTTAGACATGAGATTAGTTCTTGAACCAAAATCCACAGATTTCTTATATAAAATGCTGTTTATATATTTATATAGAGACTACATGTTTGTTTGAATCATTATTGATGATAATTAATATTATACAATGGTTTTTATGAAACAAAGTTATAAAATTCATATTGAAATGTAAATTCAGCTAATATTCAAAGCTTAACAAACATAAATTCAAAAAAATACCCCGCAGCGGAGCGCGGGTTTCGCCCTAGTTTATATAAAAATAGCAATGTTAAGTAAAATGAAACAATGAAAGAGCCTGATGACATTAGATATTTAAATATATATTAACATACAGTATGTGAGTTTATGTATATATCCTTGTTTAAAAAATCGCTAGGCGCTAGTCGGGCGGTGAGGGTGGGCCTAGCGCCTAGCAAGAAAATCGGAGATTAAACGGGGATTAATCGGGGACTAGTTTTAAGGCTATTTAATATTTTAAAAACATATTAATCCATTATAAATAAGAAATTTATATAATCTTGTTTAAAAAATTATATTAAACACATGAAAACAAGAATTTAAGGTCAAACTTATGATTTTTATATAAATTATGAACATAAGTGGGACGTTTTGAATTTTAGATCCAAAAAAAAAAAAAAAAGTAAAAAAAAAAAAAAAAAAATTGGGCTAGGCGCCGTCTAGGCGGGCTAGGCGGACGCCTAGGCGGTCTAGGCGGACAAAAATCGGATCACCGATTTTTTTTACCGATTTGGACAAAATCGCCGCGGTCCCCATCCGATCAGCGCCTAGGCGGCCGATTTTTAGAACAGGGGTATATATACAGATATATTAAACTTGTGGATATATATAAAAAAAAACATGGATTATTTTGTAGAGTTTTCTTCTTTGAGTTTATTTCCCATCCCTCTATTGGGCCACTTTTAGGCCCATGCTACCCCAATCTTACGCGTGTATGAAAAGATTTGACGTTCAAGTAAACTTCCAAAACGACGTGTAGTTCATCTCTAAAACAAAACAACGGAA